AGTTCGTGGTGTCTAGAAAGGTAAGGGGTAAGGGGGTAAGGGGGTGGCCTCGTTTCCTTTTTTTTTAATTTTGTAAGTACAGTCAGTTTACAATGTTGTGTCAGTCTCTGGTGCACAGCATCGTGTTTCAGTCATACGCATACACACATAGATTCCTTTTCATGCTCTTTTCCATCGTAGGTTACTGCAAGATTTTGAACACAGTCCCCTGCACTGTACAGAGGAAACTAGTTGTTTATTTATTTCGTGCATAGTAGTTAGTATCTGCGACTCTCAAAGTCCCAGTTTATCCTTACCACCCCCTTTCCGGCCTTGCCTTTTGACTTCAGCTCCCATGTCGCCTTCCTGCAGCATCTGACATCACAGGTGTAGAGAAACAGCAGAAGTGTCCCGGCAGAGACTGGTTGAGTTGTGTAGCTGTTTATTCTCCAGAACAAAACTAAGGGCCCGTTAAGGTGTTGCTCTAATTAGTATCTGAAGGGTAAGAAAGATACTTGGAGGCATTCGTATTCATTGGTTTCTACTAAGTATTAATTAGCATCTTCCCACAAATCCCTGGGAGGGGAGATCTATGATTAGATACCACATGTCCAGTATGATCAGCTGATTTCTGATTTTAACGAGTGTTTCAGGTTTATTTGCATTGCTTTTTGATAGTTCTTTTGGGGGGAGGTATTGTGAACAGAGGTACTAGGGTTGAGCCCAGGACCTTGTGCATGCTAAGCACATGCTCTCCTACTGAGCTCTACCCTCCCTGCTCGATTGCTTTTTAATAAAACTTGTGCGGAATCTTGTAGAGCTGGCTGGATCAGCAGTTTTCAACCAGGGATGATTTTGCCCTGCCGGGGGAGAGCTGGCCATGTGTAGAGACATTTTTGGTTGTCACAATCAAAGGAGGGTGACTGGCATCTAAGGAGGTAGAGGTCAGGGAGGCTGCTGAACATTCTAGACTCTCCTGCAGTGCGTGGATTTCCCTCCATGGTAAGAATTTTCCAGCCCCCAATGTCAGCAGTGCTGAGGTTGAAAAGCCCCGAGCCATACATTACTAACTAACCAATAGCCTAGTCTCACTTTCATGGCCTCCAATGCCTTATTTACCAGCGAAGAGTCCTTACCAAGCACGCACTGAACTCCGATAGGGAATTATTTGTGTTTAGGGTCTCCCCGTTCACTCTTCATCTTTTTACATGAAGCCAAGTTGAATTAAACACCTCCTTTCTCCCGTGCAGCCTGCAAGGAGATGAAGGCAGACATCATGTTTCTGGTGGACAGTTCTGGCAGTATAGGACTGGAAAACTTCATCAAAATGAAAACATTTATGAAAAACCTGGTGAGCAAATCTCAGATTGGGGCAGACCGGGTGCGGATCGGCGTGGTCCAGTTCAGCCATGTCAACAAGGAAGAGTTCCAGCTCGACACATACGGGTCCCAGGGGGACATCACAGACGCCATAGACCGAATGGCTCACATTGGAGAGACCACCTTGACCGGCAGTGCCCTGACCTTCGTGTCTCAGTACTTCAGCCCGGCCAAGGGGGCCCGGCCCAGCGTCAGGAAGTTCCTCATCCTCATCACGGACGGTGAGGCTCAGGACGCCGTCAAGGAGCCGGCGGTGGCGCTCCGGCAAGAAGGCATCATCATCTACTCTGTGGGCGTGTTCGGCTCCAACGTCACCCAGCTCGAGGAGATCAGCGGCAGGCCGGAGATGGTCTTCTACGTTGAGAATT